ACGTGTGACGGTTTTTGTTTTGTAATGGTCTGACTGTGCCATGTGCTTGAATAGGGAACATACAAGTGTCAAAATTCCAGTTGCAGCTCACAGAACTCAATTAGAGAGTCCAGTCTCCAAAATCCATAATGCTCCCCATGGCTGGTTCTGCCCTGACATCCCACAGGCTGGTGTCGGTTCGCATGGCTTGACAGTGTGCCAGCTCGCCTGATAGGTCATGGTTTCAATGGTGTTGGTATGCTGGATTTGTAAACAAGGGTGTAGAGAAGGTATGTGTGGGAGAACGGGGGTGGGGTGGGGTGGGGGATCAATGCTACCCTGTAAACAAAAATATTGGGAGTATTTTGGGAAGGGTAGTTACTCAGGAGCCTGACAGCCAATGTGGTGCAGCAGTGGAGGTTTAAGATCAGCTGCAGTGGGGCTAGTCCGGTCTGAAGATGGGGATCTTAGGTAGGAACTCTATTAGGATTACCTGCAGGGGATAAGAGAAAAAGCTGTTACTGTGAGACAAGACTGGTGAGACTGTGATCTTTCAAGTGGTAGAGATTTTGCAGCAGCGTTTACCAAAGTAGCGACCACTTCACTATCTCAGGTCATATATTGTATCCAATGTTGCAGATCAATGTGCGGAACTGGTTTATAGCAATATTAGATTTTTTTTTGCAACAATGTGATCAAGTACATTGATGTTTTATGTTTTTAATTCACTGGGCTTTTGATTTTCCAAACCATCATTAACACTATGTGGGAAAAAAGTAGGGCCACACGAAATGGCAAAAACATACTGAGATTATTTTGATGGATGATTCACAATTAGTTGGAATTGTCATTTTTTCACACAAACTAGAAATTAATTAAATTAGAAAACAACATATTTAGATCATGATTCTTAAAACGTCATTATAATATATATATATAATTTTTTTTTTTTCCACACACACTGCACTTGGCCTTATTGCAATTTCCATAATATTGCAATTAATTGTACAGCACTAGAAAAAAGGCACACTACTCTTTCATTATTAATGAGATTACTACATCAATGCTGCGGGGGGAGCTGTCACGGAGGACTCCAGTAGTGCAACAATCAAATATAAGCACACATTGCATTTTCCATTACTCTGTAACGGGAACATTGTTATTTTACTGTTAACCTTGCAATTGTTGCGACAGAGGATACAATCTTTCCTCATAGTATTAGAAAGCGCTGAGCAGTGTTTTGGCCTCCGGTATTGTATATTATCATCTCATCCCAACAGATACTCACATATTCCATCATGTTGTTGGTTTCACACTTCCTTTTGCTTAGTTTCCAATGCAAACACAACTGCAAACAAGAGTGCAACAGAGATCAGAGATTTTCTATAACGTGTCCTAACAAGGCGGCATTAAAAAACACGTTAACGCCTTCACTACTCACTTTGTGGTAAAGTCTGCTGTTCTCCCACTCCAGAAGTTTCTCTATAGATCTTCTTGTCTGGAAAGCAACAGTGACATTAGGTGATATTCTTTACAACGCCCCATGAATCAACACGTCAACATTTTCCTGAACCCCTTGTGGATTTGCACCTAGTGTTGTGTGGATGGTATCTCACCCTCTTGCTGAGGCAGATCACAGGCCACAAACTGAAGCCCAACGTGCAGCAGCAGCAGAGGCAGCCACACAGGAGCCACCGCACATTCACTGGCAGCGTCTTTCTCAGGCAGCTGTTTACACGGTTTATACTGGCTTTGAATTCCTCTGGTGCCACCTGAGGAAGTGCAATGGACAGACATTTCATCAGTCTTAAGTATTGGTGATCAGATGAATGCATGAAGACCACACTGCACTACAATATTTGAGCAATTTTAATATGAAAATTAATAAAATAAGAGTATCATATGTTGGCCGGTGGCTAGAAAACAATGTAAATCTTGTAGTGGTGCCAATGTGGGATGTCATTTTGAATAATTCGTATGTATTTATGAATAACCACGAAACACTCACCTTTCCCGTAAGTGCTGAAGGAAATTCTGACTCGAATTTGTTGCTAAGCCCAAACCTGTGGGGAAAAAGTTAAATGTTATACTTAAGCAGAGATGCACTCTAATAGGATAATTAATAATCCGCTTTACATTTCACTCCACTTTGCCTTAGATACTTTGATAAACCTCCCACACCATGAACCATCTCGCTTTTAAAGGGGGTCCCACAGCACACACAATATTATACATAAATAATATGAACATAAAATATGTTACACACCCAAACCCGCCATGTCTATCCATATACCTTCGTCCTAAATTAAACTAGTGTGTATTATATAGAAGCAGCCCATTTAAACTGCTTATATACTTATATAGGACTTGATACATGTCACTGTTTATTATGGGCTGCATTGCACAGCCACATGTGTAACTAGCAGCCAAGATGGCCAACAAGACTAACATCAATGTAACATCAAAACTGTGTGAGAGAGAGTGGTGAGGGGGAACCAAAGCGACATCTGGACACTGAGTGAGTGAATGATATCAGTCATTAAACCCTGAACCACAGTAACACACTGCTGCTTGCCTGCCAGCTAACCCCTGACTGGACTACACACAACACCCAGCAACTCCAGTTCCTGCTGCTGCCACTTATGATAATAACATATTACCGGAGATGGTCTGCCTGTCAGTGTCGTTACCGGGGGCACTGAGGGCTCAGTTTACTCACACACACGGGTAATACTTTAAAAAGGGCAGAGGACCACTTTGTGTGCACGATTTAGCAAAATACGATCTGAACACGGGAGTCTTATCCCGTGTTCAAGTCCTGAAACAGTGAAAGCAACAACGGGAACAAACAGCACAACACAACAGCACGTCGCAGTACGCGGCAGACACACGAAGGAGTAAATATCTGTCAGGTCGTGTCACGTTAACGATACTGAACCGAAACGAAAGCTAAATCTACTCAGCCACTCCTCGTCCGCTCGTAGTTAGCTCGACGCTAACCTAGCAGCTAGCTGAGCTAACTGAGCTAACTGAGCTAGCGGCGAGTCATCCCCGGTGACGGTGACGGTGAACTCGTCACCCGGTGGCCGTTAGCGTCGCCGGTTGCTTACACAGTGACGTGGCCGGACCCTCGCACCACCACCGGGTCCGGAGCGTACTTGAGGAGCTGCTCCTCCGCGGCCCTGTCCTCGTCCTCCTCTTCCTCCTCCTCCTCTTCGTAGATCTCGTCAAAGTCCTCCATCATCGCACGGCTCGGCCTCGCGCTTCCCGGGAGAGACACCGGGAGAGACACGACGCCGACGGACAGCGGAAACGTTACCGGGGAGCGGAAGAAGAGCACAAAGAGAACCGCAGTGAATATCAACCCGCACCGGAGACGGTACCGTTCACATCGTTCAGAGAGCTCCGACACAAAACATCAACATCCGCCGCAGTAACCGTACGACACCGGAAGGGGGACGGACGTGCTTACGTCAGATTTATTTATTTATTTATTTATTTATTTATTTATTTATTTATTTAAAAAGAAACAGAAACCAGAAGATTCATGTAATTTGTTTTGGTCTTGTCCACTTTCTTGTTCTTTTTTTTGAAAATTATGTGCTTTTACTTCCCAGTATATTATTTCTTTTTTAAATATATAATAATAATAATAATAATAATAATAATAATAATAATTAATAATAACTTTATTTGTATAGCATAATAAATAACTAACTCTATTGGTATAGCACTTTTTAAAAACATGGTTTACCAAAGTGCTTTGACAGACACAACGCAGGAATCACAAATTTTACAATTACTAAAGGGATAAAATAATGCATGAAATAGTTGAAATAACAGAGGATAATTGAGTCGACCACAGTTAACCAAAAGGTGGGAAATTAATCAGAGATTGAATCAAAATAAAGTTAGCGAGAAAGAGAATAAATAAAATAATAAATAAGTAGAACAGAACTCACATAAAGGCAAGTCTATAAAAATCGGTTTTAAGAAGTGATTTATATTAATTATTATATATATATAGTTTAAGTCAAACAATACATTAAATTACTCCCATACTGCTAAAAATAAGGAAAGCCAAAAGGTTCTAATTTATTTAACTAATTATGATTTCTGTCTGTCCCCTGGCTTTATCTGTTCATGTATTGTTTATGTTTGCAAATAAAGTTAAAAGAAACACACACAGTTTGTTTGTATATCTGTAAATGGTTTAGATTCACTTCATACTATATGTTTTATACTTTTGTCACTCGTTCTGTATTCATAAATAGCTAAAAGAAACCAGCAAGAAAGGAAACTGGTTTATTTAAGAGAATATGGGAAGTAATTTGCAAACCTACTTTAAAAAAAATATTCTTTAATAACGTCTATGTATCCATTTGTATCAGTAAATTTCAGTTTGGTGTTTTAAATCAATTTGCAGGGAAGTGGAAGTTACTTGAGATATTTGAGTAGTGAAAAAAATATTCAGATTCCAGGTAGAATACTCAACTTATAAAATCAAAATACGTCCGCATTAACATTTTTGTTACTAAAGTAAAAGTAAAGAAGTATTTAGGTTTTACAACAAAATATCAAAAGAAGTATTCATTATATAGAATGACTCTTGAGTAGGTGTCATTATAGTAGATTATATTTACATTATACTACTGATGCAAGATGTAGGGCAGCTTTTTAACTTATTCATAAAATACTAATCGGATCAATGCATTATGATAGGATAAGATGATCACATCTTCTGCATGAAAAACATTTAAATTGTCTTTGAGTAAATGTACTTGAGTTACTTCCCGCATGAATGAACTGCATTGTCATACCCGAGCATTGCTGAGGATTTACAATAGAAGAAGAAGAAGGAGAAGAAAGGTAAACCGGAAGTAGAGCAAAACCTCTTTCAAAATAAGACATGGACGTTGGCAAAAAAGTTAGATTTAGCCTTCAGTTGAACCCTACGTGCTATGGATATCGCTTTTTTTTATTTTTAATTTCTTACTCACAAACAGCGTACGTGTTTTAATTTGCTGCTCTGTTAAATATAACGTTCACATTAAACGTACCACTGCGCGGCAATGCGTTTTATTTTGAACCCTTTGACCAGAAGTAGTCTTCCGGTACCCTGATTCAGCGATGGTTGCTACTAGTGTTTACTGGGAGTCGAGATTGAACAATATTCGTGTAAGTGTTGCTGTGAAATCTCTTCCTCGATGTCAGTAAATCTGTTTATTAATCCACCAAGAGCTTCATCAACCCGAGAGGTTTACAGTAGACGGCGGCTAAAAGCGCTGTGGATGTGACACTACTTCCTGTGTAGGAAGTGTGCAGACAATACACCCACAGTCCCTTTGGATACATCGCTGTAAACCTTTAGTTCAGCTGAACAGCCGCTGATAAAGTTTGTCTGCAGGATGACACAAAACGAGCACTTTCAAATGGTCTTCCAAATGTTCAAAGACGTGGTTTCCGTCCCGGTCCCCACTACCGGTGTTCTAACAGTGGCACTAATATCATGTGCAATGTTTGGCATCCAAACATATTTTAACTTCACTGAAGGTGTCTTAAGCATTGGTGCCTGTGTTTTTCAAAATGGACACCTCTACGGGATCTTGCTGTTCCCTTTTTACCACAAAACCTTCGCTCAGCTCCTCCTGAGCATCGCGACCCTGCCGTTGCTCAGTGGCAGTCTGGAGAAAGGGTTTGGTACTCTGCGTTTCCTGTTGTTGTTCCTCCTGATGTCGACCACCATAGGCTCCATTTACAGCTTCCTGGATTACATACAGATTGACAGCAGCCCTATTCCCGCAGAGGGCCTGCTTCCTGTGGCCCTGGCATGTGTGTCTGCAATCACCAAGCGCACTAAAATGACAAGAAGTTTCCTGTGTGGAGTGAGTTTCCCCACCATGGCTCTCCCCTTGGTGTTACTCATAATCACCACGGCCCTGGTTCCTCACAGCGTGCTGACCTGTAACGTCCTGGCCATACTGGTTGGGTGGATGTATGGGAAAGGATGGTTCTCTGCTCTGGACTTGTCTGAAGCCAGGGCTGGCGTTGTGGAGAAGATGGTGCCTTTCAGGTGGTTGAGGAGCATCAGAGGGGTTATGTTTGTCCCTGCTTCCAGGGAGGAGCGGAATAAGACCCTCCTTCCACAAATCAACCCCACTCCTGGGTCCTACCCGGTCCAGGCTTACGCTCCAGTGTCCAGCATTAACACTGCTGGTACCACGGCCGAGTCTTACGAAGGCTGGCCAAATTTGACCGGTACTCTGTCCGGTCACAGTCCACCTCCCAACCCTCTTGCCTCAGCACATGGTTTTGGACTAAGTCATGGACACCCACAGCAGAACATTGGCCACAGCTGCAACCATAGTCACGGTCAACTTTAGCCATTGTTATTAATTGGATTGGCTTTACACATTCCAGCTGTACAGGTTGTTATTCCATCAATGCTGCTCTTATTTATCACTATTGAACACCTGCAGCGTCTCTTGTCACTGGATTATGTTGTCTACGTGAAATGCTTGGCCACGTGGTTGAAATGTGTTTGCTGTGCTTCTACTGTTTTTGTGGTAGCCTGTGTAATTACAGGATATTTCTAATGTTATGTGTCTTTTGTACAGTAATGTATTTGTTTTGTAGTTATTTCTGCTAATAAATGTGTACAAAAATCTTAAGAAAAAAAAGCATTTACATATGAAAAACCTTTTAATGGGTATATGTGTGTGTGTGTGTGTATATACATAGAAGTAAAGCATGTGCAGGATCACACATTAGATATTATTGTGAATATATATTCATACTGATTTAAAGCTCCCCAAACTTTAGTGAACTAGAAAAAGACTGTTTTGACCCCCATCAGGTCTTCATCAATATAACACAGTGGATCTGTACATGTGTATGTGGGCACAAGACCAATTACATCTGGCTGATGTCATGGTCGAGTGATCAAACAAAACATATTTAATATGGCTCTCAAAATCGATTTAAAAAAAAAATTAAACAGTTGCTAAAAATAAGGTAGAACATCCCAGACCTGATTTCAGACATACAAAACAGGTAAAGTTAAAATGTATTTGGTTCATTTGACTGTGATGTCAGCAGAATGTAATTAGTTTTGTGCCTATATATGATATCCTGTTGGCCATTTGCCTGATGAAACATTGATTTGTATATGCTAGTTAAGTTCTGGGAGCTTTAATTCCCCTTTCTCTTAGAAAAATGTACTACTCTTAAGTTCTTTGCAGTTTTTAACTTACTTGAAAATAATAATAAAAATATGATAAACAATAATAATAATAGAAGAACACCCATGCTGTGTTTTGAAACTAATGCTGCTTGTAAACAAACAATCTTGCATCTAATAGCAGTACAATGTGGCTTCAATGTTATTTTTCCTTTTAGAATTAAAATTTTGTGCTGGTGAAAAAGGAAAAAAAGTCAATTCAAATCAGTGTCAAAGAACATAGAGAGACGGTTTGAATCCTCAGGAAATTTGGTTTAATTGACTCACGCAAAGACATATTCATGACAAACTCATACATGGGCTGAGTTACAGTGGAGCAATATGGCTACTGAGCTGTCCACTGTACTGCAGTGTCAGTGAAGCCAAGCATAGATTACATCTTAATTTTTAAATCAGGACTCATTCGTCCCAGGTGTCTCCATAGGCGTTCTTCGCTGTAACATAAGGGAGACAAAGAGAGAAAGAGTTAAGTCAGTCTTTCACAGCTTTGTTTAAAGACAGCAGATGTACTTTAATGTCAACCCCTCAACAAAAGGCTTGGACACACTGCCCGTGTGAAAAGTCCAGAACGTCCAACATGTTGAACTGCTGCAGCTTGCACGTCTGTGATGTACACACACACACACACACACAAACACACGTGGGCATTGTGGCTGCTCTAATCTGTTAACACGGCTGCCGGAATAAAAGGCAAGACGTTCCATGATGCTGCAGACGTAGGGCAGTGTGTCCAGGCCGTAACCCAGCAAGTGTTCTACACATCTCTGCAGTAGTAGCTTACTCTCTTTCTTGGATCTATTTGGCTCCTTCTCAGGTGATGCTTTGAGCATTGTCTCAGCCTTCTGAGTTAACGTGACCTCGTAATTCTCTCTGTTCTTGAGCCTCAGGTCCTCATAGAGGATGGCCTTTCTTCTGGGCTCCTCATCGTCCACATATGACTCAACTGAAGGTGATGGGGAAAGTGACAAATAGGGTAACCTGGGAAAGCTTACATAAACGTTACTTAATGACACAATAAAACCTAGCAGTTGTGGGAAGCAGAACCCTGTTCGGGACTGTTTTCTTAACCCCGTTTCTGATGGATTTCTGACCATTTCCTCATGCCGACAGCCACAAACATTCAGACCTTTTGTGCCTGCACAGTAGAGATTTTATGTCTTCTCCTGTCCCGCAGGGAAAAGATGTTATTTTACTGAGTCAGTAACAACTGAAAAAGTCCACAAGTATCAGTATTGTTTATTGGGATTGACTTGAAAAATGGTGTGGGCCTAAGAACTAATCTTGTTTTTACACATTAAATTGTTTTTGAAAAAGCCAATACAGTTACTACCTGTGGTATCTGGAGCGCCAAAGTCATTTGATTTGCCCATTTGCACGGGTGACTCTGAACTGTAGGTTCTCTGATGGGGGGCTTCTGCTGACTGGAACATGGTGTCAAACGACTGGGTGTCTGGGTCACTCATCTCTGACTGAGCACCCTTGGAACTGGGGACGACAACAGAAAAATGGTCAAGGAATAGTTGGTGGATAAAAACTTATAGCATCCCATACGTGTGTGTGTGTGTGTGTGTGTGTGGTGCTCACATTTGTGGAGGCATTCCTGTCCTCTGTCTGAGGGCATCTCCCAGGGGGGAGTTCTCCAACCTCTTGAACTTCTCCTGGCACGTCTTCATGTATGACATTTTCCCAACTAGATAGCCACAGAAGCCGGCAACTGGAGAGACAAACATTTTAGATTTTAATACCCCAAAAACGATTATATGAAACATTTCAGTCATTAGTTTGCTCTTTCATTTAACGTTTCAAGAAGAGTATTGTGAGTAATGTGAATATGATATAGGTATAGGCATTGACTGTTAATCTGACACACCTAGATTAAAGATAAAAAAAATTGCTAATTGAAAAATTGCATTGCTTAGTCTAGTTATAAAGAGATCATAATGTTCAGTATTGTTAAAACTGTCTTAGAGAGATGTTGACTCAACTTTATGGTCTTTTTAGAGGCTATACATTTGTGGTGTTGCTTAACTTTACCGCATTATAGTGAGATATGTTTCTAATATTATTATAAATTAATATGAGGCAATGGAGTGTGTTCATTTCCCAGCTTTAACGTTGATGAACTTACAGATCACTTTGGGTAGAGATCCAAACCTTGGAGATGCAGACAAAGTCCCTACACATTAAAAAAAGAACAAGATCAGTTCAACATGTGTTTGTTTTTTATTTTTTACAGATATGTTGCTGATTCCTCTACGTTATCGGCAGTATTACCTCTGGAAACGAGGGCTTGAGTGACCGCCATGCCGGCCACAGAGAAAGGCACCGCTGTGAAGAAACGCACGTTGATGTCAGACACCTTTCCAACTTATAACACAACACAACTTAATCTGACCTGTGTGTGAAAGACACTTACATCTGTACCAAAAGCTCTCCGTGTTGCACTCTCCAAACACTCTCTTCTCTTCTTCTGTGGGGATGTACTCCGTGCCCACTAGCGGCTGCACATAAAACACATAAACATAAACACATAAACACATAAGATACAACAAACACATAAACACACAAACACACAAACATAAACACACAAACATAAACACAAATACACAAACACATAAACACAAACATAAATACACAAACACATAAACACACAAAAACATAAACACAAACACACAAACACATAAACCCATGCACATAAACACAAACACACAAACACATAAACACAACACCAGCGTTAACCGTAATAATTGACATTATTAGACTTGTTGGCCAGCAGCTCACAGACAGACTAATGAGATTTAAACAGCAGACAGCAACACGCGAGACAGTTCATCCAAAGTTAACGCTAGCTGGCTAACAGGTTAGCATCTTATGAGACAATGTGTGTGTGTGTGCAGCGGTGTGTTTACCCGCGCTGCTGTCTGCTGCCGGTCCTCCGTAAAACCTGTGGTGGTGGATGACATCTTTACTTCAATGTCAGTGCTGCTAAAGCTTTTAAAGCATGTGATATAACAAACTGTGAGCCACTCGGCGGTGTGACTTCTCTGTTTGGGACAATGTCATTGCGCTGGCTATCACTGACGTAACCCGGAAGTCAAACGAAAAAAAGGCTTTTGTAGTGAGAAATATGTTGTTATAATTACTGCTCGATAATGAACAACCAGAGAGAATAACGAGGGCAACTTATTTTCAAATAATCACACATTGCTGTTCTATTACTGTATAAATCCTAGTAGCTACTTTATTTAGCCTACCTTTTATTTGGATCTTTTATTTTGAAAGCTCAAGACTTTGTTTCAAAGGTTTTAAAATGTCGACCTCTAGTGGTTGTGACCCGCACATAAACGTTTCTGTATCCATGGTTGGGACAATAATGGCAAATTATCCCAGCACAATAATGAAATAGTGGGGTTTTTGATATATTACATGAGTAATAGCGACATAATTAATACTATATTACATTGCATTATGCTACTTATGTCCCTATATAATGATACAATATATCGTTTTTATTGTATTTTCTTATTTAATCATATCATGGCCGTATTCTGTTCCAGTTTTGGTTTATTCAAAAGTATTAGTTACTATATAGTGTGTGTATATTACATGCATTTAATATGCATATAAACATATTCACATATCATTACACTTATGGGCTACACCTGTATACCATATATAGTACAAATCATGGCGGTCAGAGTTACAACTGCATTTATATATAGACTATTGTATTGTAATGAATATATTGTGTATAGCTTTTTAATGTCATCATACTCACTTTGTTTAATTAAATAAAAGTAAAAAAAAAAAGTAAATAATTAATTTCTTACTTCATAGCCTGACTCTATAACATGTAGATAGATTGTTATTATGTATTAAAAGAAATAAACAAGACAAAAGCACACAAATCCAAAAAATATCAAAGCACGTGCAGGAGGATACTGTGTAAATGAAAAAAAAAAACTAAAGAAAGCCACAAACATATGGCATATGAAAACGAAGTGTATTCCAGTCAAGTGATGGTCAGAACTGTCTATATAGCACTCACTATAACAATCCATTCTTTCTCTGAGTCAATAAATACATTACATTAGTTTATGTTTTATCGGAGGAATTTGCCAATCAAAACATAAAGTTACACTGTTGTAATTGCATTGTATGATGCCTAGGTGATGCTCAAACACTTGCACAGTGTTTGACTAAGAAGACTTTGATTGCCTCCTCGCTGTTATGTGTAGTTTGCATAGAGTAAAAAAAATCTAATTAATCTTTGATGCTGCACTCAAAACTTGGTAGGATTTAAGATAGAGTGCATCTGTTTATCCAAAAAAAGCTCTGGAGAGGAAAAGACTAGATCCTAATCAATAGTCTAACATTCACTGACAAAACTAAAAATAGATGTGTGTTTTGTTGCTCCAGTTGTCATCCATTCACTTTTACTGGCAACATGACAGGAAGCGCCAGACCAAAATTAATTTGTGTCTGATCTGTGCTGGTCTGCGTGACAAATCAGGATTATGGTTCATTTTTGTCCTAAAGTCACACCAGAGCAGCAGGACACTTTGGGAGCAGTTTTGTCCATCGGACAAGCTTTTGCGCAGATCAGATGGGTGCTTGTCTGCAGAGGGGTACCTGTGACAATCATTAGGGGCAGTTGAGTGTCAGCTGGGTCACTGTGGGGTCACTTGAGCGAACCAGATGGACACTTGGGTCCACTCATATGTTGGGTCATGGCTGCAACATACCAGCTGACCTAACCCTGATACATTTACATTAATGCCTTAAAAATATCAGTGTTTATTAATGGGAAATAATAATACCCCCAATAAATAAACAAACAAATATATACTCAGTTGCCAGTTTATTAGGTACACTGGGTTAAAACTAATGCAGTCTAACAGTCCTGCAATAAATCCTCTCTTTATGACAGTTCTAATGTTTTTGGCGAGTCATTTTGGAGGCTGCAGTTTGTATATGTAATATATTGTATTATATAATATTATTTATATATATGTATTATATTGTAATATATGCAAAATACTGACAGGTGTTTCTATTATGTGTCCACCCCATTGGTATCAGAAAAGTTAGACTAGATAACAGAAACACCTGAAACGTCATGAAGGTATGGTTTATTGCAGTACTGTTGTATAGCTGGGTGTATCTAATAGACTGTGTACTTGTAGAACATAAGCATGGAGGAGTTTTATTAGGACATGACTTGGATATATACAGTGTCACAAAGGGCACTTGTGCATTCAGATGTAAAAGTGCAGTGGTGGTGACTGTGTGTGTGCGTGAGAGTTAGAAGCGGTCAAATTGGATGTTGTATTCCCTTCCTGTCCTCACCAAACATTGTCAGGTCATGACTTCCATGGAAATTCAATGCATCAGTGTGCCCTGTGCTGACTTTCTCTCCTCTAAGTCCTCTCAGGCCTCATCACAGTTTTATAGGCCTAAACATAGGTCATTGATATTTTGTAGTATTGAACAATGGGTAGTTGTATTAAGAGAATCAATAGATTGCTGCAAAAATGCCCAAAATAGAACATACCCACATACCCAGTGTACACCATACGCCACAATGCACATCCTGTAACCCCCCCACCCCCATGTGGTCTATCTGTTAGTAGGATAAACCTTTGCCAGTCCTCTGCCATGGTTAGTTTCAGGGTCCACCAGCTGAAGCTATCATCACTTTGAGGGCTGTGCAATGCAGATGTAAAGGACTAATTAGAGAGTTTATTAAGAGGTGGTAATTTATCTGCAGGAGTTTCTCTTTTAAATGGATGGACACATTTTCAAATCGGACAAACAAACAACAGAACTTCTTATGAAGTGGCGTAAAACCAGTATGGTATTTAGGTAACGTATACAGGTTAATAACAGCAGGTGTAGGGGCAGGTGACGGGAGACACCCCCAACGCAAGACTTATCAGGTACCATGTGAGTCAGATTGCGACACAAGAGAGAATACAACAGTGTCAGGTAAGACTAATCAAGATTTGCAAGGTGTGTTCAGTTAATCTATGAGACGGAAGTGATGTGAACACTGCACCCCCCCCCC